TATCCTACTGAGCCATCTCCCCGGCCCCCTCCCTCTGACTTTTGATAGGTGTGTAAAAGAAAATCGGTAACATCAAGACCAAGTGCTTATCAGTAAAAGTGGCTTTTCTGCCAACCAGAAATGTGGAAAGTATATGCTACTTTTATTGAAAGTAAATAATATGGTATTCAGTTTGAATTAGTTTGAAATTTTATTTGAGAATAAACTATGCCAATAGATCTTGAAATAATACAGTTTTATCAGTTTAGCTGTCCCATGAAAATGAAAACTCATGATGCCCAGAACTATTTTTTTTGGTGGCACAACATGTTGTATAAATTAAAAACAAGAAAAGACAAGGTTCAGGGTCCTTCATACTTCTTCATAAAATGAACTTTATTTAATATGTGCAATATTATCACATAACTTTTAGAGAAATTTCTCTTCCTTTTGTTCAATCTCTAATATTTTCCCAAATAGTTCAACTGTGAATTTTGCTCACCAGTTTTATTCCTATGATCAATCTAATTACAAGGATTAAATTTACAAATTGCCCTTCTGTTCTCATCTTTTAAAATTAAAATTAAGCACCATAACCTACAAGCATCTTCCCACACAGAACCTCTCTCTCCTCACAAACTGCCATAGGATGTCTGTGACTGATAGGTGATCACTGAGCCAAACATCTGTTATAACTCACCTGTGACAGAGGTGAGGATCAGTGACACTGTCACTTTAATGCAAACAAAACCATCTATGGTAAAGAGAAACTTCTATGTGATGAACCTTGTTTTTGCTAAATGCTTGGCTTAACCTTTCTCCTTTCTGGTTGCAGCATCACCCTTCTATTTCAAAGCCAGATAAAGATCACATAACTAGTTGAAGGAAGAGGTAGGACTTCAACATGTCTTTCCACTATCCCAACCAGGCAAATGTTTAGAGACAAGCAAGACCACACCTTGTATGGGGGAACTTCATGAGATGGGGTTATTCAGGGCCCATCACACCACAGCACCCCAACCACCATATTTTTCAGTCATTAAGTTAGACTCAGCCAGGTGATCAGCTACTATGTATAACAAAGTGCAACCCTCCATCCCTTCAGTGCTGGCCACTAGTTGTGAAGATATATTACCTTCTTCAGGAGGGGACGAGTTGTTCTGCATGATCTGCCTTTCATCCATACATGAATTACCTGAATCTAGAAAATACATAGGAAAGAATAAATGCAGTTGATTTTTAATGCTCAGAGTGGAAGTCACTGTGTCTCCTCAAAGTCTTACTCAACAAGACAATGAGTTAACTAAAATTAACAGAAATCATTGCAAAAATAAATTAAAAGTTATGTCATTCAGGGATAAAAGCACGCTAACATCTTGCAAACTAAATTCATAAAGTATTAATCAATGATTTCTCATATATGAGATGTCTAGTTTTGTCAACAAAG